TGGGGTTTTCGGACATGTAAGAGAATGGATCGAAACAGAATGACTTCAAGAGTGTATCAGTCTGTAGTGGAAGGAAGGCGGGGTAGGGTTCGGCCTAGGAAGGGGTTGGAGGGAGGGGGTAAAGGAGGTTTTGGTGCGAGGGGCTTGGACTTCCAGCAGGCATGCGTGAGCGTGTTTGATAGGAGTGAATGGAGACAAAGGGTTTTTTAATACTTGACGGGGCTGTTGGAGTGTGAGCAAAGTAACATTTATGAAGGGATTCGGGGAAAACGGCAGGCCGGACTTGAGTCCTGGAGAGGGGAAAAGTACAGTGCCTGCACTCTGAAGGAGGGGTGTTAATGTTGCAGTTTAAAAACTGTAGTGTAAAGCACCCTTCTGGCAAGACAGTGATGGAGTGAATGATGGTGAAAGTTTTTCTTTTTCGGGCCACCCTGCCTTGGTGGGAATCGGCCAGTGTGATAATAATAATAAAAATAAACATATATATATATTACATATATATATATATACATATATATTATATACATATATATATATATATACATATATATATATACATATATATATATACACATTTTTAAAATACACATATATATATACACATATATATATACCATATTATTATACACATTATATATATACACATATATATACACATATATATTATCCCATACATATATATTAATTATATATATATATTATATATATATATATATATATATATATATATAATATATATATATATATATATTATATATATCTTACGTAACCTTAGAAGGTCTTTTAATTTGTACGTTCCGAATTCTTTGCATAATATTCACGCCCTCAAACATCCCCAATGCCTCCAGCCTCCTCTTCGCTGCAACGTTGAAAGCCCACATACTTCACACCCACATAAAAGTTGTGGTACCATTATTATTATCGCCGTTATTATTATACTACCATCTGTTATATGAATGTTTGCATTACCATTATATAATTATACTAATGTATTTTTTTACAACGCTGTAATTGGGTTGCTAAATAGGTTACCTAAGAGTCAATAATGTAATGTCTGTGACCTGACCTCAGTTCCATACGTATGAACATGACCACCTGTCTCATGCATGCAACGTGACCTTAATCAACACTGCAGAGCACAAAGTGATATGCAAATTAAAGTCAGTTACCTCGAATTATGAAAATTAATTAATGTTTATGAAATATTACTGAGAGAGATAAAGAGGAGACAAAAAGTTTCCTAATTCAATTGTCGGCCTTAATGACTAGAGATACAAAGGTCATTATGCAACGGCTCCTCTTACAGTATAGACTTCTTGACCAATCTCAAAAATCGTATCAAGAGAGAAACGAAAAAGAAATATGGACTAAACTCGTGTATCTACAACGACTAAATACGTAGATATATTTTACACACAACTTTTTTTTTACAGACGTACAATCCTGTAAATAGGTATAGGTATCTAATGTTTTGGAAATATTTTAAATTTGAAAACTTGAAGTCTCTTACCTGCCATTTTACTCTCAGAACTGGAGTTCTTAAGTCCACATCGACGATTATATTCCCGATTATACGCCTCCTCCGATCATTGTTCCACTATCACACTCTTCTCGTGGATGATACAGACGCCTATAATCGCCCAGGAGTCCATTCCATGCGTGTAGTGATGAATTAAGAGGTGAAAAATAGAGTCCCAGCAGCACCGTATGCTTTCGCGTCACCACCTCAGTTTACACTGTGTTGACATGATTCACAACCTTCGTGAAGCAGCCGTCCCGAAACTGGACTCGGTGTTCGAAACCGTTCGCGTATCTGGATTCAATGGTGTTGGAAGCCGTTTGCGAACGAGGACTCAAAGGTGCTAGTAGTCGTTTCTGTACCCGGATTCACAGGTGCTGAAATCCGGGTTTGAATCGACTGGAAGCCGTTTCTGATCCCGGATTCAAACGTGCTTGAAACAGTTTCTGGATTCGGGTTCAAAGATACTGGAATCGGGTTCCCCTCAAGGAAGGTTCCTTGATGTTGGTGAGGGGCTCTTGATTTAGGGAATTGGATCTGTGCTCCAGTTCCCCGAATTAAGCCTGAATGCCTTCCACATCCCCCCCCCCAGGCGCTGTATAATCCTCCGGGTTTAGCGCTTCCCCTTGATTATAATAATAATAATAATAATGGAATCGGGTTGTGAATGGGCTAGAAGCCGTTTCTGACTCAGGATCCAAATGTGTTTGAAACCATTTCTGGATCCAGAGTCAAAGGTTCTGAAATGCGGTTTGTTAATCGCTTTGGGGCCCAGTCCCTGGACCCATTGTGTACCTCTATAATCTGTTAATACCTTTGTAACTTGTCATGATTGTGACTAGACCTACCTGGAGTTCATTACCTTTGTAAATTGTGAGTTCATTACCTTTGTAAATTGTGAATTCATTACCTCTGTAACTTGCTCAGCCATCAAAACTTTGAGGCCCAGTCCCTGGACCCATTATATACCTCTGTAATCTTTTGACTACCGCCCACAGGATGGGTATGGGGTGCATAATAAACATATTAAACTAATTAAACTAACTTAATCGATTAAAAGCCGTTTCTGACCCCGGATCCAAATGTGCTAAAAGTCGTTTTTGTACCCGGATTCAAAGATACTGAAATCCGGTTTTGAATCGGCTAGAAGCCATTTCTGATCCCGGATCCAGATTAAAAGCCGTTTCTGAACCCGGACCCAAAGGTGCTAGAAGCCGTTTCTGACCATAAACCAAATGATGTTGGAAGCCGTTTCTGACCCTAGACCCAAATGTACTAAAAGCCGTTTCTGACGCTAGATCCAAAGGTGCTAGAAACAGTTTCTGAACCCGGAGTCGAGGGTGTTACAAGCCATTTCTGACCACAAATTCAAAAGTGCTAAAATGTCGGCTCTGAAACCACTAGAAGCAGTTTCTGAACCCTGAGCTCAAAGGGCGTTTGAAACCAACTTATGAACCCACACGGAGAAGGTTTTGAAACCAATTTATATGTGTATGAATACTGAGAAATACAAAGTGCTCAGATTATATTAACTGAGAGATAAACATCTCGGTGTATACAGAGATATTCATCCGTCAGTGCATATACAATGGGAAATATGCATCTCTCTGTGTATATATACTGCAATACGCACCTCTCAGTACGTATACACTGAAAAATATTCCATTAGGTGTATTTACAATGAGAAATACACCTATTATACACACTGCGAAATACAGCTGTGTAATATACACTGTGGAATACAACTGTGTAATATACACTGCAAAATACACCTGTTTAATATACACTGTGGAATGCAACTGTGCAATATACACTGCCAAATACACCCATGTAATATACACT